TGCAACCAGCTGCTATTAGACTGTGCCTGCTATCTCTGAATTTAACCAAAAATTAACACATTCTATGTTAATCACTGATGTCCTAAAAACACCTAGAATGAGCAATTATTGACAAGGAAAAAACATAAGATTGATCAAGTACAGCCGTTTATGATGAAAGACCTTTGAATCCTTCGTGCGCACAGCTGTGGGTATTGATTGTGGTCTTTGCTGAAACATATCTGCCTTCTGAAAGCAGCTAGTACACGACTCGTGGGATTGAGCTCGTTCCTCTGAGTTGCCATAGACAAACAGCCTGACAAAGCGAGGATTGCCAAAAAAATCTTTTGTGCAGTCCTAGTACGGAGCGATCAATCACAGACCCATCTTTGTAATTGACTGCGTCGGTTGTGGGTTGAGGGAAGTCAGGTCAGCTTTTCATTGCACAGAAACTGTAAGTGTGCTGCAAGAAATCACCCGGGGTCTTCATATGCAGTGCAATGTGACAAAAGTTTACATTTAGATCAGGTTTGTCTTACCTTCCCTTTGCATGCATACAGTCGCAAGTCAGCAACAAATATGTCATCTGACGGAAAATAAGGTATCTTTACATATGGTGTCATTTTCACAAACAACAAAAATCTCATCCACATCTAATAACGCCAAATTCTTTTGTTGATGAAAACCACTGGTAGGTTATTTCACTTATAACACGGTAAAAATGTTTTAGGAGTGAAATGCTTGTGGAACTAGTACTTTTTAAATCAATATTGAGAAATTATTGACTTAAAACAAGCCCCTATATCTTGCTGAAAAGTTATTTAAGTTAGTTTAATCTTAATTCAAGTGTACTAAGATATTTGCACTAGAAACTAGACCAAAAATGATTAAGATTTTGTATTTTTGCATTGTTCTCTTATGTTCTTTACCAGACCTGAACAGAAAAGTCATATTTAAATACATATTCAAATGACACACAGGCTAAATCGGATTCACTAATTTGGTGAATTTTGAAGGCGTCTTGTTCTGTCGTATTTTATTTTGGGGTAACAGAGTGAATACAGTTGCAAAGCCCACTTTTCATGTATTTCTTTGCAAAAGTTTTGAAAATCATGTTAACCTTTCCTCTGTTTCAAAGACTTGAACTATCACATCAAGTCAAATCAAATAAAAAAACCTTTAGGTTTGTAGTTGAATCGAGGTAAAATCTGAGAAGGTGCTATATGGTGCTTGATGCTACATTTTTTTTTTGTTGACAAAATCAAGTATTTCACATTACAGTTATTTAACAACATTTAAACACGTCGCTCTAAATTCATATTGTTATGGTACTGTCAGAACTAAATTAATAAAGAAAAAAATAGAAATATTTCCTATCAAAACGATGAAGAACAGTACATTACCTGTATTACTTCATAAAAATCACAAGTTATTATTCCCATTTAAACAAATCAAACTGCCGGATGCCGAACGGAACATGTTGCTAACGGCTTACTGCCGTTAGGAGCAGAGCTAAGTAGCTAGCCAAACACTCTTCGCACACATTAAACCAAGATAACTAATCCGTGACGCAAAACAAAATGCATACAAAGTCGCACATACAGGGCTAGCATTCATCCATATCATTCTCCTGAATAATTTCTTACATATAAGAGGGACAATTATAAGAGAAGAAATGACCACAGATGAAACCAGTGCGCCTTCATTTACTCTTGTATTGAATGTAAAGAGCGCACGAGTCCCCCTAGTGGACTCTTTTGACTATGGCGCCTTCGCACCGCTCTTTCAGACAAAGGATCCAACTACATTCCTTGCACACACAAAATCAAACTAAATTAATGCAGATAATCAAACAATTGGATCTAATATTAACAAGGTCAAATGAGTATCATACCCTGCAACATTTTCGCTTTAGAAGTTCCAGGCAGCAATGGTTTGCGGAGTGAGAGCGCCACTTTAGCGGCGTGCCTCGTGTCTCGATGCAAACCTTTTGACTTCATCTTATACAAAGCAGTGTTTCCATAACGTATACGTCCTCTCACATATGTACTGTGTGTTTTACGTCAGATAGAGATCTCAGAGTGTGTGAGCTGTTGGCGCTACGTGATGGAGAACACGTCCTTAATCGCATCATCGGTGCATCTGGCCCATTAGGACTGTTCTTTCTCCGGCTGAAATTTGGTAAACACCGGCGTTTCCCCAGATCTGCTCCTCGCTGTTGTGGTCTCTGCATAATTCACTCCAAACGGCAACTGTACTACCAGACTGTGTTGAGCAAGAAAAATAATGCCAACAGCTTTATTACTAACTATTTTTTATTTGTATTTAGTTGTCATCAATGTCATGACTAATGCCCATAATTAAAGCACTTAATCAGCAATATTATATGTAGAGTCAGAAACATAAAACAGTCCTTCATTTCATAAAACATCACTGTTTATTGGTGCATGTGCAGCAGACAAATTTGCTGCTTTCATACAGCTGTAATTGTAAAGCCACTTTCTACCAGCAGGTGGCACTGCAGTAACGGCCAAACTCAACTCTATTAAGCCCTGCATGGCTTTTTTGCTTCTATTGAGTGGGACAGTAAAAGGATCAAAGTCAGCTAAACGAAAACCAGATATGCCAACAATACATAAAAAAAAGAAAAAAGTCCCAAGAGCTTTCTAGTTGTTGTTTGTGAGACCAGAGAGATGGCCTAATCTTTGACGCTGCAGATGGTTTTCTAGTTCAATAGCTGTAACTGTCTGCTCATTAATATTTTGGAGAAGAATGAGTGATTAGCTTTTGCTGATTGGCCAACAGGCCCTTGCGAGTCGTTTTTGAGAAATGTGCAGCTGCTTGTTAAACACAATCAAGGATAATGCTTAGTGATTTTTAGACTAATGAGTCTGAAGGCTGATAATTGTTTCGAAAGCAAAAAAAAAAAAAAAATCCCAGTGATTATCTCAGCTTTTAGTCTTCTGCCGAGGATAAATAAACTGCAGACTGGGGGGAAAAACATAAACAAAATGTACATTTATAGAGAAAACAAACACTTCTCTAAAGAGAGCTTTATCTGCTGGCAAATGTTACTGTGTGAGTTGAGGAGCACACGATGTAAAATCACTAACTCAGTGTTGTTCAAAGTGGAATCCACCATTTTCAGTGAATCTAAATTACATAGCACGATAAATCACCTCAAATCTGCAATATGCAAATAAACATCTACCTAAGTAAAACACGTGGAAACAGTGGGTGCATGAAATTTGATCTTTATTTTAAGATGTGGTTTTGTGTTGCTGTAAAACGTTGCATTCATTTTCTGAACAATTTTGAAAGAGTAAAACATAATTGTCTTACAATTTATTTCTCATACAGACCAATTTGCAGAATTGTTTTTGAAATCCATCGAAGGTGATCTAATATCAAAAATTTGCTTTCTTAAAAATGACCCTATGTGTCAAATACATTTGTGGTCCTTTACTGGGTTTTGTTGCCATATGAACCCACATTTGAGCTGCAGAATTTCTCCCCACTGCTTTCCTTGTGGGGGACTTTTGTGTTATTTATTGAAGTTCATGGATATTTATCACTCTTCAGCAACTTGTGCACGACTTATTCTTTCATTCCTGCTTAGACGCATTTCTCAGTCTTGGACATGGAGTGCAACTTATGCGAGCTACAAGCCTGAACACAATTTAACAAGAAAAGCAGTCAAAATGATAGCTGTGCCCTCGGCGACATTGAGTTTAAGATTGAATTAGCTTTGTTTTGGTTTGTTTGGGATTTTGCAATTCAGTTAACTTTACCTGACATCTGTCCTCAGTGCAAAGAGAGACTGAGCAATAAATCACTTTCTGCTATTTGCTTATTCCATCCATTTTAATGTTGCTTCTCCTTTCCTGGCTTATAACACAGATTTCCCTGCGTCCTTAAGAGACGTTGAAAATGAAAATTACTAATTAGCTTAAGAAATGCCATGCGTTCCTTCCTCATGCAATTCTGTGCATGTAAAATACAAATTTAGAAGTGACTGCCTGTTTTCTCTGTGTTCAGACATCACAGACTGCAGATAATTAGACGTACAGTACAGCTTGCATTCTTAAAACATGTCGGGCTCTTTGTCCAAGCCTTCTTCCTTAGTTGACTCTAGTCTGTCTCTCACATTTAACTGTGAGGACGTGAAAGATTCACAGGAACACAGTGCAGTCATCCCACCGAACTCAATTTGACATGTTGCGCCAGGTCGATAAATGATATAAGGTTCTGCATTGTGTCCCCGACCTAAACGTGAATCTCAGAGGGGACAAAAAAATAAAAAAATAAAATACGAGCTGGAAGAGGAGAGAATGCCTGTTCTCCTTTACAGTGTTCTGTTTAACATGTGGATCCATTTAGAGCAGGTGAAGCAATGTTGGAAAGTAGATCCATCTTCTGTTGCATTCCAGGGGCCACTGAAAAACATAAAAGTTAATCCAGGGTGAAACGGGTGGGTTAAATAACGCCTGTCACAAGCCATCAAACGCCGCACATCGCCCCGAACACTACATACTTACTTTTGACATGTATGCAACTTGGAGAAATTCTTCAAATATGTGATTCCTCACTTAGAGCTGAAGGCAGGAACATTTGGAAACTTAGTTAACATTTCATTAAATCTTACCAAATACTTTTGGTTCTTTTTCTTTGCATTTGGATTAAGACAAAACTAACTTATAAGTAACTTTTCAGCAAGACATAGGAGATTGTTTTAAGTCAATTCCTTAATATTGATGAAAAAGTACTAGTTCTTTCTTGTTTTAAGTTAAATTACTTCCAGGATTTTCAACATTAAGTAATTATATTGATAATTACTCCTATATCTTGCTGAAAAGCCACTTGTAAGTTTTTTTCTTTTTAATATACATGTACTAAGACATTTGCAATGCAAACTGGATCAGAAATACTTAGTAAGAATTTGTGTTTTTGCAAAGCACGGGAAATTGTCGCAACCCTCGTTGTCAATTTCGCTTTCGTTTAAAACCTTTTTTGCGTCTCAGTTTCCCCTCAGCGTCGCGCTAGGCGGACGGCAACGCAGCTGATCATCACAAGAAGAAAACAAGTAGACCCAATAGTAGCCACGAAAGACCAGCACTTCCTCCCGGAACCCAAAGCCGGCCTGGAATCGTGCAGGTACAATTCTCTTCTCACCTCACAATTAACCCAGCAATAAATCATTTCACAGCTGCACCATTACATGTGGTCCATTATCCTCCGCAGGCCCTCACTCTGAGATGGGGGTCGATGAAAGAAGGCATGGGGCTACAGCTGGAGTGTTTGAAGTCTGAGAGGTAATGCTTGCGGACCCTCTTGAGAGGCTGTTTGGGGTTCGGGTTGAGAGACTTGCACATTGTTTTACATTAGGCTTCTAATCCCTCTAATGAAGGCCAACTTCGGGGCTCCACTGTTGTGTAAACTCTCGTGCTTTTAATGCCCATGCGGCGGTGACGGAACCAGCTCCCTTTCTTTCATCAGCGCAGCGGCTACACACACAAACAGTTGTTAATCAAGTCAAACCGATGGTGGGAAATCGTGCCGCGTGTATAAACACACATTCTCGAAACGCAATTAGCTCGCAGTGTGCAAAAGTGAGTGTGGAAGTGTGCATGTTCAGCTGCATGTGTTTAATCTGCTCTTAGCAAACAAACCATAGCGCACTAAATCTGGAGACGGAATGATTTTCGTTTCAAGTGGAAAATGATTTTGTCATTCACGGCCTAATTATTGTAAATGTTAATTTCCTGCTTCCTGAACACAGCCTTGATATGTTTGTAGGTTTAACCACATTCTGATTCTGGGGCTACTAAATGACCCGGGTGTTTAGTTGAAGCCTGATTTTCAATCAGAGCTGTGGGGAATTGTTTGGAAAAGGTTTCCTGTATTTAAAAAGTCAGAAAAAGTTTTATCACAGACCTAACTGTATATTCAAAATGTATGTCTTCTTTTGGATGAGTTATTTTTCAAAGTAATAAGAAAATCAAAAAAAATTATTTTACATGTGCTACTTCTCATGTAAATAGGTTAATTTCCTCTTCAAAATGTTCAAGACGAATTCAAAAATGTGTCCTTTTCCAAACTATTTTTAACAAATCTATTTGTAGAAACATCACCTCCCATGACATTTTGCAATATTTGTCATTTTACAACCAAATATTTCAATTTATCTCTTTTAGGATTTCATGTATCATAGTAACATAAAGAAAAAGGATAGTTTTCAGAAATAATAAAGCAATTTCTTTGAGCTCCCCTGAGTCAGCTCTTTATAGAAACAAGTTTTGCTGTGTTTACAGCTTTAAGTATTTTATTTTTTGTATCTCCATCAGCTCCATCATCTAGAAACTGAAATGTTTGCTCATTCTTCTTTGTGCAATAGCTAAAGCTGAGTTAGACTAGAGTGGTAGCATCTGTGAATGTCACTTTTTTTTTTGTCTCATATTCTTCTTTTGATTTAGACCTGTGCTTTGACTCGGGTTTTCTAACACATGAATATGCTTTCATATAAACCATCATAACTCTGTGGTGTTCAGACTTGTTCTTTTTCTCCTGCTGCCAGGTGAACCTCCACTCTTGTCTTTTTCAGGAGTGGACGTCCCAGCTGCTGCCCAGCAACTGTAACATGTCGGCAAATCAGGTGAGTCTCTGATGGTTCAAGCACATCCAAAACTCAAACCACACCACATGAAAGGTCAAATGGATGATCTCACTCTGAATGAGTGCAGAGCAGGGTAAGGGAGGGGCTCTGAGCAGATGAGCAAATAAAGCTCTTTCACAAAATCGTCTTTAAACCGATGTATTAACAAGATAATGCCACAAGGTGGAGCTGTGGTGAAGAAAGTCAGAATGTGCAGAGGATAAACACCCAAGAGATTTCTTTCTGAAATTGTGATGGAATGGCAAAAAAATACAAAGTGATGTTTCTTGACAAATGTTCTAAAGTAAAAAAAAAAAATGCTATTTACATACTAGTATTTCTTTCATGATTGACTTGTGTCTGGCCCAGACAGTGTGAACATCTCATGCTTACCTTCACCACTGAGGTTTCTGCAGTCAAGATATTATATTTCCTTTCTTTCCACTCAGACAGGAAGCTTGTAGCATATAGTGGAAACAAAAAGAATGGTAGACACTGGAGATTGATCTTATTCTGGCTGGATTATTCTTTATAGACGACCTCAACATTAAAGTGTGTTTTCATAACGTTTAATGTGAGAAATGCACAGGTTGTGTAATCCTTCTAAAATTGAATGAACATATTAACACACATTGTATGTGTTTGGTCAAAGACAATGTAAAGGTAAACTTTTTTCAATTTAACATTTCATGCATCAGATTGCAATAATACTTACTGTATTTTCACATAAAGCAAAAATACACTAAACACTGTCATGATTTGATGCCTTTGCTTGACTGGATGGACGGACTGACTGACGGACTTGACTGAAATGCAGAGAGCCACCATTGCTGGTGACTTTCTTGCTGGTACTCCAAAACGCTAGTCTGGTAAAAACCAACCACTTGTTTTACGCTTTGCTTTATGCTGAGGGTCTCAACTCTTGGTTATTGAGAAACAATTGCTTGCTGGAGGTGTGGACTCTGTCGAAGTTTGAAATGTTACCCAGTGGCTGAAGTTTAGCCACTGGGTAACTTCAGCCAGAGTCAACATCTTCAGCCACTTGGCACTGGGTCAAATCTGGGCCAAGATTCAATTGGGATTCATAGAAAATTGCTTGCAACAGTCATCCTCCTCTGTGAAGAGAGAAACCGAGATGAACAACAATTCGGTGTTTGGAAGTGTGGCCAACACGGACTGAGCTGCTTCGTTCGCTTTCTCTGCTGCAGTTGCTAAAACTACTGGTACACTTCACTTCTAAAATAGCGCAGAAAATCAGCATTATTGCTCACAACTTCTCCTTCTGTTCACTGACTGGCCCGGTTAAAATTCTAGCAGAAAAATCCACATCAATGGGAGAAATCCCAGATGGAGCAGTGAAGGGTGATGGAGCAGAATTGCGTAGGAAGGCAATGGCCAGGCTAATCAAAGCAAAGCCATGGCTCTGTAGACTTTCAGACGTGTACCTGGGCAAAAATACTCTGGGGGAAACCGAAGAGACCGGCACATAAATAAATTCCTGACGTGTTGTGAGAAGTTGTCGGGTAATCCTCTAATAATAATGGTGTTAAGTAACACATCCTGTTAGTTCTGTGATATACTGATTCATGTGGTTTTCTGCCTCTGCATGTGAGTTTATGTAATGACGATGAGGCTGAAAATGTCATGCTTTCTTAAAATAAAGGAATACACTTCCCTTTCATCTAAACAGTGCAGGTATAATTTGGCTTGTTTCTTAAAAAACAAATAAAGCAGCAGTACCTTAATGATATGTATTCAACACAATGACTTCTCCCTTGCATAACCGAGCAACATGGCACATTAAAATGACTGATGAGCTTAATAATTACCATCCGCTCTTTTCTCATGCAATCCGTGTCTGTGTAACAAAGCAGGGAGGTGAGATTAGGTGATTCCTCTCCTCTCTCCCTGGTCCGTCTCTGTGCTCAGACATCACAGACAGGCAGAGAATGAAAAGTCCACTTCAGCCCGTGTTCTCAAAGCATGTCAAACTCATTGTCAAGGCCTCCTTCCACAGCGAACTCCAGACTGTCATTCTCATTTAGCTGTAAGCACTTGAAAGAGTTGTGGGACACATGATACAGTCATGCTATTGAACTGAATTCGACATGTTGTGCCAGATCAATAAATGATCTCAGATTCTGCACTGTGGCCTTCGACTTGGCCTGGACCAGAATGTGGCACCCCGAGTCTGGGGCGGTTAGAGGAAGGCGGGGACGTCGGAGGTGGGAGTGGGTGGGGGGGGAGCTGTCAGTCGTGCCGGCCTCGGCCTGCTTTTGCCTTTGCCGTGCATGCTCTTCCAATTACAGACAAAGGAGAGGCAGTCCCGTCCAACATGTGGTTCCATTTAGAGCAGGTGAAACAATGTAGGAAAGTAGATCCGTCTTCCGTCGCATTCCAGGGGCCAGTGAGAAGCAGCTCTAAATCACAGCAGAGTTAATCCTGAGGAGAACTGGTAGGGTAAAAGGTGGCTGAGGGTCCTGGAGGCTTCCTCAGCAGGGGCCCTCAACCCCCCCCCCCCCCCGGTCAAAGTATACAGCATTTCAAAGGATTATGGCAAGCTGATAGGAGTATCACCTTCCCCTTTACATTTTGTTATACTTTAGACTTCTACTTCCAACGCCATCACTCTTCTCCTACATTTAAGACCTTTAGTATTGCTTTGGATGTTGTTTTCAAGCAGGGGGAGACTTTGACCTACATTGAATCGCTCAGTTACATGGCTTGCCTGGAAGACAAACTGCTTTTTTTGTGGGGGGGGATCATTTATGGCAGGGGCCCCCAAACTACGGCCCGCGGGCCGGATCCGGCCCGCCACGTCATTTGGTCCGGCCCCCTGAACAATGCCGGATCCGGCCCGCCTCCTCATACCAGAGAGCATTCAGTGTTTTTTTTCATATATTGTATTTTCTGGTTTATATGTGGATTTTTCTTCAACCACCAGGGGGCTTGAGCAGATGTGAAACTAACTTTCCCTCAATGGAATATATACTAGTCAGTCCCAGTCACCGTTTCACTCACGGTTTTTTCCATTTGCATTCTGGGTAAAAATCTATCTAAAAGCGCGAATGTGTCGTCGCAACCTCCCCCCCTCCCCATCGACCTTAGAAAATTCTAAGGTTTCTTTCTCCAAAAACTAAGACCGGCCCCCGACCAGAGGAAGGAACAGCTATGTGGCCCTCGCAGGAAAAAGTTTGGGGACCCCTGATTTATGGCATAACCCTGAATCGTTAGTAGTCAAATATGACCAGATCCCATTTCCTAGGGCTTCCCCGTGCGCTCCCCCATGTCCTGGCACTTAATTTGGGTAATTGTTAAAATATTCCACTGGAAAATTATACACTCTTTCAAGAAACTGATACATCCTCCAGTTCCATGATTTAATATGCCTGTATGCTGTTATCAGTTCTGCAGCAGCATATTTTTTCTTTAAGGAAAAAGACATATAATGCCAAATATACCTAGTAAAAACCAGAACTACTTTGATGTATTTATCATGTATATAGATTTTTGATAATGTATTTCCAATATAGTAACAACAAACTATCCTACATAGTTTATACACATTTAATATGCTAAATGCATTTACACTAGGGCAATGCCTTAAGATACATCACATTAAACATTTCAGTATAAACCCAGCATTTTGGGTTAAGCAGAAGTCTGTATTTGGTCATGAACAGGTACTCGAGATTATATGATTGAAACTAAAAACTAAAAAAAAAAAAAAAAAAACTCTTATGGCCAGTATGACTGGAAATGCAAAAGCATTTAAGTCCAGACGGTACCTTGGACGCAGTGTGGTGTATCAGAGAAGGCTGCTCTCTACAGTGTGCACGAGAAGGTCAGCAGCTGATTTTATCAGAGCCTTTCCTTCATTTGGCCTTCACGTGAGGGCTCTGTTGGGGTTTGGCAGGTTTGTCTCTTTTCAGCATGTGGTTATATTGGGTTCATGTAGCCACTTTACTCTACTGGAAAGAATGTAGGTTAATATAGCAAGTGGGATCTGGACATCGTGCTCTCGTTTGGCATTTACAGACCATAGGAGAGAGAGCATAGTGTGTGCTTTGAGCTGTAAATCAGAGGATGTTTGGCGTCACACTATTTTACCGGAGGGGGGAGTTTAGACCTCGTGTTGGGCCACGGACCAGCAGCACCCAGTAAAGCTCAGACGTGCAGAATGAGGGAGGAAAGATGAAAGTAAAGGAGGCATATTTTTACACTGGATAGAAGCCCAGAAAGTTTCAACTAGACACTGAGTTAATAAGGACGTTTTTTGGGGATGACTTCACAGCTAAAAGTTTCAAAGGGATACCTTTTGCTATTTGCTTCCGCCAGTGCCAACATTATGGGAAACAGTAAAAGGTATAGAACTGACCATGGAGTCACAGACGAAATACTTTGGCAGCAGAGAAGCGACTCAAATCAACATTGAGATTTCATAGGCTGGTCAAGGATTTTGTGTGTTAAATGCAAATATTAAAGCTGGCATTTATTTCTGTTTCCAATTTCATTGGAGGCTAATGGTATGAATGCTATTTTTTTTCTTACCCACAAAGCCAACATCTTAGTTTAATGGAAGCAAAATATTCACAATTTTAAAATAGGAAGCACATAACAGTTTCTGTTCTGAAATGTGTTTTCATAAGGCAACAGATTGCTGTGTGGGTTGATTGCTGATTGCAGCTAATATCAGGAAACCAAAGATTTCAGTCTATTAGCTTTGACCCTCTTGATTGTTATGCCATCATTCATTCAGCTCCCTAAAGTTTATTCCTGTCAGGTATTAGTCTTTTTATTCAACTTGATTTTGGTTCAACAAAAACTGTCATATTCTGTTCAGCCTACTCTGCTTGAATGGTAGCAGAAAAAAATATATATAAATTTTCTTTTTAAATGGAGAATGCTTTTTTTTTTTTTTTAATGTCATTTTTTGTGACAAGATCCAAAGAATTGGCTTTGAATTCAAAACAGTGGCAAATTAAATTTGTACATTTAGA